TTTTATCCCTGAACTTGAGAAAAGGAACTTGAGACATAGCTATACGAAATCAAAAGTAACGGGGAACTACTTAATGTAATATTATACGCGAAAAATATAGTAATTCTGTCAGAAAATAATAAAGGCCAAATTCTGCTTGATTATATTCACGAAGTAGGAAGACAATGGGCAATAAAATGAACTTAAACCAAACCAAATTTTTAGTCTTTAGTAGTAATCCACATCCAGATCTTCTTCTTCTTAAGGTTCCATCTTCTAACGAAGGTTGGATATCAACATGGCAATTCTTATTTTACTTACAGCAGCTCTAAATAGTTGGCTAGAGCTCAGACTAAACCATTCCCTTAGATTTCGTAGCCAGGAGGTTCGTCTTCTTCCTACATCTCTTTTACCTTTTATTTCCACATCCACATCCAAATGCAAAGCTTTAATTAAATGGAGTTCAATTTAACAAAGTTCCCAAAATACATATTTGGAATAACATAACTGTCATAACGGACTAACTATTAGATTCAGATATAAAATAAAACGAAGAATAGCAATTACTGAAACTACGTTTATGAAAATGAAGATATTTTTGTGCAATAATCATCTCAGTTTAGAACTAAAACAAAAAAATGGTTAAGTGATATATTTGGTCTGTTCTTTTGTATAAAGTAATAGCGTAGACACTAAAAGTATCAAATATAAACAGAATTAAAGCATTGGGAATGCAAATTCATAAACTGGAGGGTCTAAGTTCTAATGAAGGTCAGCTAAGATAGAGAATTCATTAAGACTGTTAAACACCACAACATATCTTATCTGGGACTCACAGTGAGGGAAATCGATATAAAATATTACAACTCATCCTTGAAGGAAAAATAGAATGCCGGAGAGTTGTAGGAAAAAAACAAGTTACTTGGTTGGACGTTCGTGAATGGACTGAGATATCAATTGCAGGACTTCAGAATCAAACTGACAAGTTCGGAGCATAAGTTTTCTAAATAAAGACCATGCTTATTTGCTTGATTTATTAAAGTCTAATTTTTACACAGTTTCTATCCATTTTTGTCATCTGATTGCATGCAGGCTGATTGCATGCAGACAACTGTGTAGTAGTTTGCACGCAATTTCTCGTTCTTGGCTTTCGTTGTAATATTAATACAACATACAATTTCATACATATTTTTCTGTATTTACATACAGATATTGTATACATATATACAATTTCTCACGTAGTTCTCACAATCTCATGTATTTTGCACGTGTTGGGGATATATCCCAGACATTTGACCAGTCTCTCAGTAAAAGTCGCCCAGTCTGCTTTTTGAAAGTTCCACCTAGGTCAAGGAAAAGCTGATATTTTTGGTATTTTGATGTCAACCTCTATTAAAACTGGTCTATGATGTTGTCTTTTGATGTTGGTTATGAGAAAAATCTGGGAGTACTGTACGTGAAGCTGCCAGTGGTTTGTTTTCATTTTTGGAAACAAAACATAGGTCTGGGTTATATTCTCGACTCTGGGCTTTAGATCAAAAAAGTTCTCATATCTTTAGCGTCAACTTTAGCGTAACTCTCTAGTGTAGCAGAGCCTCGTTATTTTGATTACTACTGTACCTTTACTCCCAGAGTTCATGATAACTGTTGAAGTCTCCAATATAAACTGAGGGATGTGGGTGGGTGTGAGTAACATGCGGAGGCCACAAGACTGCCGGAGGTTTATAAATATTGCTGACAGTAATTTCGCCAATTTGTACAGTAACCGTATGAATGTTATTTATGTCCGATGTAAAACATACGTGTGGATTTTCCATTTTGTTTCGAACATAGTTTGCTACTCCATAAGCTGCATGGTAAGTTGCACCCAATAAATCATACCCATGAATTCTTCCTCTAGCGAGAATTTGTTCATCGTTTTCTAGAAAGCAAAGTAAATGTGAGAACTTTATGAGTAAATGTGAGTACTTTTTTTACATTTACTTCTACTAATACCTTCTATATCTCAAATTTAGATGCTTGGTCCGAATACTTTTGTCACTTGGTCCTGAGAAGGTTCATTTAAATTGTTGGTTGGAGGCATATTTTATATTCGTGATGTTTCTTTTTTTCCGTGCCAGGAGATCTAGAGATTCTAGATTGGTTGCTATGATTGGTGTGCCTATTGTGCTAGCTTTTCACCGCGGAAGCTAAAAAAACTTATCCATAAGACCATAAACAGGAAAATTAATGGAAATATAGAGTATTTAATTAAATTATGTATATATATACTTATAAATAGAGTTAAACGAATGATAAAATTCACATAAAAGTTGCAGGCATATACCAAAAGAAATCGCCTGATGTCTCTATCGATGAGAGAGACAAACATATAACTTTTAAGCAAGAACTTTTAAACAATTTGGGCTTTTATATTATGGAGCAGTTTGAAGATCTTAGGCTAGATGATATGAAACTAAAGCTGTTGAAAAAAGCTCCAACAATGTATCAGCTAAACTCAAAAAGGCACCAGCTCAGGATAACATTTATATTGGCCTTCTCAAAATACTGGACAATACTTAGATTATAGTTAAAATGTTAAAAATATCTAATGATGTTTATAAATTTGGTATGATATCTTATGTTACAAACTTATCAGTCTTATAGACAATACTCTTTAAGTCTTTTTTCAAATTATACATAACTACTACTAAGGATTTCCACAGTTTTCACCGTCTTCCTTCACTCAACCGTTTTCTCCAATTTTCCCTGTCATTCCAGACTCCATCTCGCAGCGTTCTTTTTTCATAACTACTACTAAGGATTTCCACAGTTTTCACCGTCTTCCTTCACTCAACCGTTTTCTCCAATTTTCCCTGTCATTCCAGACTCCATCTCGCAGGGTTCTTTTTTCCATAGCCTCGCCGATTTCATGTCTGAATGACCTTCGGGGTCTTCCTCTCTTTCTTCTTCCGATCGGGCTCTATTCTGTGATTTTGTTTATCCAGCGTCCTCTGTCCGCTCTTCTGACGTGGCCGTACCAGGATAGTCTCTTCTCCTCTATATAGCGGATTATGACAGATTGCACTCCCATTTTTCGCTTAATCTCTGCATTTTCAATTCTGTCTCTTTTTTTAAGTCTACAGCTTGTCCTCAGGAACTCCATTTCTACTGCTCTTATTCTACCTCTATTTCTCTTGTTTATTGTCCAGTTTTCGGACCCATATGTCGGGATACTTCTTGTCAGGGTATTATATATTCTCTTTTTTGTCTTTATCGTAATGTTCTTATCCCACAGCACTAAATTTAGTTGTCTTATACGGTTTCTTGTTTGTCTTAGTCTGTTATTTATATCTTCTTCTGTTGTTCCCTGGTTCGATATTATGGTTCCTAAATACTTGAATTTATCTGTTCCATTTACTTGTCTTCCCTCGTCTATCTCTAGGTTTCTCATATCCTTGTTTTCTGTTGTTAGGTATTCGGTTTTCTCTAAGTTTATTTCCATTCTGTTGTTTTTATATTCTTCTTCTAGTTTTCTGAGCATAAAGCTGAGATCTTCTTCATCTTGTGCGATGACTACTTGATCGTCGGCAAAACTTAAGGTGTATAGGTATTCGTCTCTTACTGGTATGCCCATTCCTTCGCACTTTCTCCTCCATGGTTTGAGTGCCTTTTCCAAGAATATTTTAAACAGAGTAAGGGACGTAGCACAGCCTTGTAGAAGTCCTTTTGTTGTCTTAAATGAATTGTAGGCTTTATTTCCACATTTAATAGCTACTTTGTTTTCTTTGTTTAGTGCTTTAACTGCTTTTATTAGTGTTTGTCGGATTCCGAGATCATTCACTGCTTCCTATAATTTGACTCTAGGTATTGAGTCGTATGCTTTCTTTAGATCAACAAACGCCAGATGGACCGGTCTACCTTTTGCCATTTTCTTGTCTATCAGTTGTTCTAATGTGTACGTATGATTTTCTTACTGTGAACCCTGCTTGGTCTTCTCCAATTTTTCCTGTTATTTCAGTTTCTAGTTTTTCCTTAATAATTTTCCCGTAAAGTCTACCTACCGACGATATTATACTAATTCCTCTCTAGTTTTCACATTTTTTTCTGTTTCCTTTCTTATGTATGGATAATACTATACATAAATGAATTAAAAAGAAATGCAAAAAAGGGCCTCGACGATACAAAGCCCGGTTTTCGTAATGCTTTGCTGACACAAAAAGCTCTTTTGCACTCTTATGTATATAAAACACTCCTATAGAAGTGCAGAGATTAACAAAGATACACCCATATGTGTTTTATAAATTAGAAAAAAGTTTTTTTGGTATGATACGTGCTAAGTTAATTAAAATATTTAAACAAACTCAAGTTTGTAATCAAAATAAATGAGCAACAACACATTTACCTATATTGAAACTTGAAGGCAAGTATAAAAGTGAGCAATAATGCAAGTAAACAATGTAAAATAAAATGTAATGTGAGACAGAGATGCGTCCTGTCACCGTTATTCTTTTAATTTTATTTTGATAAAAAACCATATTTATTATCTTTACACTTACAGCTTCTTGGACAACCTATTAAAATATAATTTATTTTTAAGTATTCCGAACTATTAGTTTTACATTAAATTGCAGCAGATAATTTTATAGGATGTTAAAATTTTAAACAGAATTAACTACACGGTAACGTAAAACTCCCAAACTAGGGTTGCTGGCCCTGAGCCGTAGTCTCTATAAGAAACTTATAAGTAGCAACCAAAGTAGAGCAACAAACGTACCTTCCTCTACGTAAGATCATTTACGCATGTATACCAAAAGTAGCAGCACCGATGATGGAATAGTCATTCTGAAAATGTTTTGCGATGTAACCCGAAGGGGTTCTTTTTATAAAGGATATACCTTTTTATAAAGGATTTTTTATTTAAAATTTTTGTGATTTATATACAGTCGATAACGGTATCATTATATGTAAAGCAGATGAACAGAATCAATTTTTTTCAATATAAAGAATATAAAATATTGTTTAATAAACAATTAAATTTTAGCACCAGCTTTCCATTTAATGGTAAAATTATATTATTATAATTTCCTATAATTTTTATTATGTTCTGACTCACACAATTTTAATTGCAAATTGTTATTTTTACTTTTAAGAAAATTTCCCACTTCAATAACTTTTTTATCGTCACTAAGAAACATGATCTTCAGGCTTATCGAATTTGACTGATACTTGCATTGCAAATTCTTGCAAAATGAAATATTTAACATCTCAAGATCATGACACTCTTCTAAGATGTAATCGATTGTAAACACGTTCTTGCAGCTTCTTAATATTAACTTTTTTAGCTTCTTACAACATATCGCCAAAGCTGCTATACCGAAATTGCTTAATTTGGAACATCCTGTTAAATCTATGACTTCAATGTTGGATAAAGAGTCCCTACCATTTTGGAATAAATTTTTTATATTGGCGTCGCTGATCTGATGTCCGTAACGTATCTAAAAATATATAAATTACTAAATATGCATCAAAAAGAAATAGAGTGTAAAACCAAGGAAAAAATTAAGACTTTTAGCCAAATGAAGATTTTTTTATAATATTAATAAAAATTCTCTAAAAAGCTCTCGGTGTTTTCAGTTAAAAATCGATTTTAGCGAGAACCAAAGAAAAAATCAAGTAAGAAGATTTAATAACACCTATAAATAAAATAAAGGTATAAGATTTTAAAAATTGTTAACACAAGATAGTGTAGAATGTACAAGGATATAATATATTATAACACACGATAAAATTGATACCACGTATCCCATAATAATAATCGAGTCATTTCAAAAAACCTCCAAAACAGTATAAAAAAGCTAGGTCTGAACGAACAGACCATCTCTACAAGACCATGCAGAAAGCTGTACTACTCTTAACGTCCAGATGTGTACGAAAATTTTTGGAAGATACACCGAGGTACCAAGTCACCTAGGACTCGATAACATGGAAAGAGTCCAGCAGAGCTCAATCCTTTTGATACCGTAGGTATCTGAGAATCAGTGAATTTTCCTCTTAGAGGGAGTGTGAGCCGTATGACTAAATCTGGAATAATATATATATATATATATATATATATATATATATATATATATATATATATATATAGTTATATATATATATATATATATATATATATATATATAGTTATATATATATATATATATATATTTGTATATATATATATATATATATATATATATATATATATATATATATATATATATATATATTTATATGAATATGAAATTGTGAATACTGAAGTCGTACCCAATTCTATTACAGAAGCCCACACATTGGAATATTTGCATATGCTGATTTACTGTGCCGCAACAGCAATTGCTAATGTTATGGGCATTAATATCAGAACAAGACGGGGTACCAACATCAGAAGGACTGGTAATAGAATAGCACCTTGGGAAAAACGACTGCTGAGGAGTAAGAAGTAGAAAAATCATCAAAAGAGCTGAAGAAATATTTTTTAACACTCTAAAACACTCACGACATGATCCAGAAAACAACACACCTCAATAATGCCTGGACACATTAAAACAAAAACTATGTGTTTACTCAGGCCCACTGAGGAGATACAAAGTTAGTAACAACCGGAAATTTGACAATATACTTTTTGAGCAAGCAGAGAAGACTCACTATAGGAAACTTAATTCCACTGTAGAAAACGCAAATAAATACTATCCAAGCTAAGAAAAAATTGACTGAAGGATCAAAATAACACCCAAGATCCAGCCAAGTACCGATCAATTACTTGTCTTCTAACTTTGTACTAATTGCTCACATCCTGTGTGGTCTGGCGTATTTACCAACACTGTGCTCTTAACAATATCATATAGCCTCAACAGAAAGGATGCGCTAAGGGCTCCATGGGCTGCAAAGAACAACTTATCGACTTAGTCAGTCATTTCAGGCATACACCAAAAAAAGAAACCTTTTTACTGCCTTCATTGACTACAAGAAGGCTTTTGATTCAATACCGCAAAAATGGCTTATAGATATATTGAACACATAAAGTCGATGATAATATCGCGACCTTTTTAAAGCATATAATGGCAAAGTGGAATACTAAAATTCACCTTGAATACCTGGTGAAATTAATATCGAAACTGAAGATATCCCTATAAACCAGGGCCTTCTCCAGGGGGACTCGTCATGAATTAGCATGAAAAATAACAACACTGTTGTGGCGAAGCTTAATCATCTGTTGTATATGGATGTTTTAAAATTAATGGCTTTTACTCGAAACCACCTACATCAGATACTAAAAACTGTAGAAAATTTCTCAAATGATTTAAGTATGCATTTTGGACTAGACAAGTGCCGTATACTAAATATAGTCAGAGAAAAGGTTCACCCCGGAGGCAACATCAAGGCAATGAGTGGAAATGATATGTACAAATATCTCAAAGTAAAAGAAGCACGGAAAATAGGCCCGAAACAAACAAAAACTGAACTATCTTCACAATTCCACGCTGAGCTACTCATTTGGTATTATAAAGTGGTCAAAAACGGATATAGAGAGTCTTCAGCGGTAAGTGAGAATACTTCTCTCAAAGGCGCAAAAACATCATTCACGCAGTACAGTAGAGGGAAGAACAATACCGCGGTATTAAAGGGAAAGAGGACTTATAGGTGAGAAATTGGATAAACAAATTGCTAATTTAAGAACTTATTTACAGGTGCAGGCTGAGACATCGACTTTACATCGACCAATTTGCGCAGTAGATGATACGACGCCGCTTAAACTAAGGGAACAAGAAATTCGCATAAACCAAATGACTCAGCAAGAATAAATGCATACCTGGATGAGTAAACCGTAGGCGACATCTCAATGAGATCAGCCAAGAATATGTCGACAATACAGCGTCGAACTATTGGTAGACATTAGGAAAGATATTTCCCGAGACTTAGGGTTTCCTACTTGCCATTTAAGATCAGGTTATATCCAACCAAAAAGTATCTGAAATATATTGTTAAAGATCCTCAAGTCCAAAATAACAAATGCCGATATGGATGCCAAGCTCAAGAAACCATCCAACATCTTACCGGTGGCTGCCAGGCATTTGTCGGTACTGATTATAAAGAACGCCATGACTCAGTAGGAAAGATTATCCACCCAGAACTAGCTGATAAACTGTGACTTCTCCAAACCGACCATCTTCCTTATTATCAATACGTCCCTAACATACTTGAAAATGACAAATACAAGCTATACTAGGACCGCACTGTGCTTACAGACTAACCACTGGCGCATAATATACTGGATTTAATACTAGTTAATAAACTTAGTAGGCAAACAACACTTATTTATGTGGAGATACCCAACACCAACAACACCAATTACTTACGTGTTAAATACAACGAAAAGATCGCCAAGTACAGAGATCTAGAAATACAAATCAGGAGACAATGGAGAATGGAAAGTACCCAGACAGTACCTATTATTTTATCTACTACTGGTGTTATTCCCAAAAACCTCCTAGAGAACATGAAACAACTGGGTCTAAATGAACATCTCTATAAGGCCATACAGAAAGCTGTACTCCTCGAGACGTCCAGATGTGTACGAAAATTTTTGGAAAATAGTCCTATATACCAAGTTACCTAGGGCTAGAGAACACGAAAAGAGTCCCACCAGAGCTCAATCCTTTTGATACCGTAGGTAGGTATCTGGGATAAGTGAATTTTTCCCTTAGAGGTAATGTGAGCCGTATGGCTAAATCTGGAGTATATATATAATATATATATATATATATATATATATATATATATATATATATATATATATATATATATATATATATATACTTCAGATCTATGCATCTATCAATATTATGCTCAGTACGATTTCATATCAGCCAGTGAGTTGTTGTTTATACCTTGTCGTTTGAAGACATGTACCTAGTTACGTTATACATCTATGATATCTGAAATGCAAATAAATGGAAATATAAATATTTCTATCAGTATCTGCATTGTAAAATTTGACAATTTTAACTTTCACAATACTGGACCAGAATAAGAAAAAGAATACATAATTAATATATACCTTTAATGCCTTCAATTTTCTCAAAGTCTTCCACAAATTTTGAAATATATTCCCATCAAAATTATAAGCAAAATTCAGACACAGGTATTCCAAATTTTTGCAACCCAAAATTGAGGAAAAACTTCCAGTACTTAAGTTGGAACAATCTAAACTTAAGCTCCTTAAACGTTTAGAAATATGACTCAGGAAAAAGTACGCATCACCATCAGTTATAAAGATTCTGTTTATAGGCTGGAAGCTCGAAATATGTAGCCCATCCAAACTGGGACAATTTACCACAAGTGATGAAATATGTGACACCGTCACATATATATTTTCACTAATATTAATATTAGAAAGATTTTTTGTACAAGCCAGTTCTTCATAAAAAATTAAAGACTTAAATGGCGTTCCTTTTAGATCCAAGATTTTCAGTGATTTGCAAGATACTATCAAGTGTCTTAATCCATCTTCACTTATCTCATGGCAATGTCTCAAAGAAATACTAACAATATTTTGGGCACATCTACAAATTTGTCTTAATACTACCAGCGGCTGTTTAATTCCTTTCATATGTATCTCTTCAGCTTTATTTAATTGCCATATCTTGAAACAAATTACCGAAGTATTTGTGCTCATCCCCGTAAACTTTAATATTTTCCATAATCTCGGATTCTCTGCAACAGTTCTCCATTGTTGGCAAACAGGAATAATGTTTTTTCGAAGCTCATCTTCGTTGAAATATTGAAATATATTTAACAGAATCTTTTCAGGTAATTGTCCAAAACCGCTGCGAACTTTAAAAGACACATTGCTTCCCCTTAAAGAAACTACTGTCGTACTTGACATAACGAAATAAAAAAGTTACCGTAAATAGTAATATATTTGACATAATGTCACAGCAAGTCAATATGCTTACTTTATAAAAGAACGTATTTTATAAAACGTCAAAGAGAATTCTTGTTGAATAATAAAAATTTTAAATGATGAATTTACGTTTTGGCTTTTGTATTTTCTTATCGGTTCTATCAAACGTAAAACAATGTCATCTACTGAATTGCTTACTCAGTAAGGACTGTCAGGCTGTATTCCAACATATGGTTTTAAATTGATCGTATAGGCTGTATAGCTACCAACTAAGGCAAAAACTTTCAAACCATATTTATCAGGTTTGCTGAAATGTACTGGCGAATTAAACACCACCCTCTAAATAGCAGTAATTGTTCGTTGACTGTTATATAGCCGCCAGCAGTATAATATTTTTGTCAGTTAATTACTATTAAACTGGGAATAAGCCACAATTAAAGATAAAAATACGTTTATTGACGTTTCAATTTCCACTTCGGAAATCGTTCTCAAAATACAAATAGTAAATTAAACAAATTTTGTTTTTTGTTTTAAAATTTTAAACAAAAAACAAAATTTGTTTAATTTACTGTTTGTATTTTGAGAACGATTTTCGAAGTGGAAATTGAAACGTCAATAAACGTATTTTTATCTTTAGTTGTGGCTTATTCCCAGTTTAATAGTAATTAATTTACAATGCCACAAGAAAATAGCTTCAGAACAATATTTTTGTCAGTTGTTGTTAAATATACTTGTAACTTCTCTGATAAAAGCTAAATTATCGCATATTATCGAACCGAATACATCGCAACAAAAATCTAAATTGCCTCTCACGCATCGATAAATAACAGAATTCTGGGCCATTTCAGGTTGAATTATCCCACAAGTGCCTGGAAATTTTTTCTAGAACACCGCCGCAAACCTATTAAAAGAAGCAATCCAATAAAAGCTTTTATTTCAACAGTGTCAGTATATTTTGAATCTGTTTTATAAGAAAAAAATTTTGCTTACTTTATCTATAAAGGTATTCGTATAAGTTGTTATAATTACAAATGTGGTAAAGGTATCTATCTAGTTTATTGCGTGTTTCATGAGTCGTGTCTTATAGTAAAGTAAGATACATAACTCCGTATCTAATATTGGATGGTTTTAGCGGATATTTGCTTCATCTTATTATATTGTCTTTAGCGACAAAACAAAGTTTATGTACATGCTCACTCTCATCTTTAGACTTCGAATTGTCAACTACGTACCCAGAATTTTCTCACTCATATTTTCTTTAATATAATCTTCCAGGTCGTGGTCGCTATTGTCATCGGCTAAATCATTATCAATTTCTTTGCTACTGAGAAGATTATCCACTTATTTGGATCGATTTCCGATTGTTTTTTTACAACACTGTAATACAAAAATAAAAATATTGTACAACAAAACATTAAATAAAAAATGTAAATAACATAAGTATTTAAAAAAATTAAAAATATGAACTATGTCGCTGATTTCAAATGCACGGGTAACGAGCGCCAGTTTAGGCAACTATTTCAACCTTAATATGCAATAACACGCGCGATAACAAGGCCCAACCGTATCAGTTGGGCACAATGTGCGTAAATATAGGCGTAGTTGAGTAACTGAGTGTTAATATTAATTTTTTGACCTCCTATCAATACGATCTTAGTTTTATTTTTATTAATCTATAGTCCGTTTTTCTTTTTACTCTGGGTTACTTCTCGCTACAATCATTAGGTCATCGGCAAATGTTCCTTCGGATTTATCAATTTTTTGCAGGTTCCTGTATCCAACATCAAATTTTGTTGTTTTATTTATACATTCCTTTATACTGTCCATGTATATTATGAACAGAGTTAGGTTTAAACTTCCACATTGTCGTGTTTCTCTCTAATCTTAATTCCTCTGATATATTATATTATTATCCTTTGATCTTATTTCTTATAACTACATAATACATTATTACTATAAAAATTTATAAGACCGTTTAGACTAACTTCTTGCTTATTTTGCTGTCCTTTAATTTTTTCCTTAGTATTTTTTTGGAAATCATATCAAAAGCTTTTTATAAGTATTTCTCTTCTTCTTCTTCTTTCAGCCTGTTTGTATCCACCCCTAGACAAAGTCCCTCCATGAGTTGTCCACTGTTCTCTGTTTTGTGCTATTTGGTGCCGGTTTTTTCCCACTGTTGCTTTGATGTCATCTTGCCACCGCTTTTGTAATCTTCCTCTCTACTACGTATGTACTCGTTTGGTCTCCAATGTATAATATTTCTCGTCCATCTTTCGTTTTTTTGTTGTGCCACGTATTCTTTTCAGCTCAATTTCATTTGCGTGATTCTTAAAACTACATCTTCCACGTTCGTCCTACTTCGCACGTCCGCGTTTCGTATGTGCTCTTAGAGAAACTCCTAACCATAGCTCGTTCGATGGCCCTCTGTGTTGTTTTCTATCTATTGGATGATAACTCTGTAGATGTCACGCTTTTCAATCCATTCCATAGGTCATAACTGGTAAAATATAACTATTTAATACCCTTTTTTATTTGATATTGGTTTTTATTCTTGACGTTTAGTATCTCTTCGTAACATTTTTTCCACATATTCATTGTTGTTTTTAATCTATTGGATGATAACTCTTTAGGTGTCACGATTTTCAATCCATTTCATAGGTCATAACTGGTAGAATACAACTATTTAATACCCTTTCTATTTCATATTGGTTTTTATTATTGACGTTTAGTATCTCTTCGTAATATTTCTTCCACATATTCGATATGTAAAAAACAAAGTATATGAAGTCACCTGTTAGTATTTCTTCTTGTTTATTTTTTAGATGTTCTTCGGTTTTACTTGTTTTTTAATGTTCTATAAAACTGATTTCTGATTTTCTTTACTATTTTTTGATTATACAATATTTCTACCAATTGATTATATTTCTCAGCAAGTTTTTTGATACGTAGTTTATAGGCCCTTATATACAATTCATTATATTGTACTTTGTATTTTTTTACAAATGTTTTCTTTTTTTTGTTCTAAAAAATATCTTTAACCAAATCTTGACACTACTAAATAGTGCTCGATTACAATTTCAGGCGCTCTTTGTCTTTTGATATCCATACTTTTGTATTTATTTATATCTTTGTTTAAAAAATGTATCAGTTATTACCATTTTATGGAGTAAAGTACAGTTTGTACTACACTCTACGCGGCACCGGTTTCGGCAGCAAGTGCTTAACATTAAGAAGTATATGAGAATGCTAGAAAATGCTATATATAGTATGCTAGTATATGCTAAAAAAGAATAGATATGATAGAAAAAACTCAAAAAATAGAATACTACCAAGGCTATACTAGTGATTGCGGGTGTGTTACCCATCCAACTAATGCTGGAGAAAAGGCTGTAAACCTACGGAAAAAATAAGCAGGAGAAAATACTAACTGGAAATAGCAGCATAACGGAGTGACACTAAACACTAAGAATGGACAAATAAGCATGTGCGGCCTGGACTACGATAAAAATTCCAAATATTGCAGACTGGATAAAGTGCGGTAACAGAAACACTAACTACTGTTTCACTCAGTTCCCAACAGAACACGGATCCTTCTCGGGGTCCATCTAGGAAGGATACTGCGTATTCAAGTGCAAAATGTTCGGAATAACACAGGAAGGTAGGTAGGGTGCAAATACGATAATATTGTAGGTATCAATGATGATACATATTGAATACAAGGCAATATTAAGGGCAGTAACTCGAATTGTCAGCAAGAAGAACAAAAATATTAGAAAGGAATCAGCAGCAAAAATTGAAGAGAAAGAGATAGAGGGAGATAAGACGGGAAATTCATATGATGCACCGGTCCGAGAGAACTTGCCGTATGAGTAGTCGGAATGAGAAGGTGGACTTTAGTTAGTAAGTAGGTTGGTAGGTTAACGGGACACTGCCTGATATAGGCTTTAGAGCAATCTTTTTACTTTTCTTCTACTTGTTCTTTTTAATTTTCTTTCTAATTTTCTTCGTATATTTATATATTTCTTCAATATTATATATTCAGGACTCCAATATAAATTATTGTATATAAATTTTCCAATTTGAATATAACTTATCTCCTTTTCTTTGTTTGTGTAATGACTAGTATGTCTACCTCCACGCTTTCGAGATTTTGTTTAATTTTTTTTGTTTATGATTCTGATGTTCCTAGTAGCTATTTACCAGATTTATTAGTTTTGTCATTTTTCTTATATGACCGAGTTTATTTTGCTGGCGTAGTTTCTTTTCCTCGCAATATCCGGAATAATTGCCATTTTTATCGTTATTGTTTTATCTTGTATTATGTCGACTAACTTTTTTATTTTATCTAAAATTATCCAAAAGCTTTATGACAAATACTTTATTTCGACAATAGAAATATACTCAACTTTCGAGGAGCAGATTATTTATTTAAGTTATTAGTGAATGTCTGACTAAATGCAGATATATACTTTGACCAGATACTTAACCCCTTCGTTTACTGTGTCCTCAATTGAGGCCAACCTATTCTATAATTTTTTGTGTGTAGCTCTATGTGTTTTTACCCTTGTAGCACATCGTTTTCAATTATGAACATCCTATCATCCAATGAGTACTTGTGCTGCCACCTAACGGCTTTTGAACAAAATATTTAATTTGTTTAGATATATGGTCATATAGTTACTTAGGACTGGTGTATACAGCGCCAATTCATTTGAGTTTCTTTCGTTATAAATATGAACAATTAATATTAAATGTCTCGGATAGAGTTAATAAATAGCAGATTTTTTAAAAGCATGTATTCGTTTTTGGACGTTGTGCATAAACAGAAAAACTAATTTTTAGTTAAATATATCCTAATTTTTTGTTGTCTAGTTTAAAAAAATTAAACATTTTAAAACAGGACTAAACAAATTAGTTCAAGAAGTTTTTTAACCGACAAGGAGCTCTTGCGGTTGATCGAAAAAGGGCTATCTGATAATAAGTATATGAGTGACGA